AGAACCGAGCCCTGGTCGAAGATCGCTGTGCGTGGACTAGAGCGAGACGTGCGACAGGCACGGCAATCAGGACGGCAAACACATCTGCTCTGACAGCCGGGACTTTGTCAGCAGGTACTTTGACAGCAGGCAACTCCCAAATTGTCTACTTCATATGTATCTCTCAAATGAAAAGGGTAATTCCGGAACACAAAGTTAAATCAATTGTTTAACAGGGCAGCATATATGAGATAATATTGCAATCGAGGGACATAACACCGCCGTGTAAAATGCGATGTGTGCGTTACGAGCATTGTAAGACTTACGACCACCGCAATATGCTGAAGCGTGAGGGTGATGCAGCTTACGATCATCGTAAGCTTACGACCACCGCAAGATGCCAGAGTGGCCTTTGCGACGGCGGCGGGGAACGATGTCATTACTCAGCGGGTCTCATAAGTGCCGTAATTATTACCTCCGCTGCTAACTAATAATGGCCTCCATTGCAAATTGTTTCTTACATTAGTGAACGGTAACAAGGCTCATTAATATCCTGGGACGGCCGACAACCTATAAAATTACCTCCGAATGATTGCAGGGACGAAGCGCTTAAGCCGGGTACACACCATCCTGCCAGGCACGTGCCAGGCATATGCCAGGCAAGATCGAGTCCAATATTCTTAAATTTATTTATATAGAAACATTCAAACCAGCCGTGCGAGGCACCTGCTACGCCCATGGTGTGAATGCTTCTATAGAAATACATTAAAAGAATTTTGGAGTGGACCGAGACGGGCATTGCGTGGCACGTGAATGGAAGTTAGGTATGAACCCGGCCAAAGTGTTTGTTACTGTAAGAAATTATGAAGGTTGCAAGCAAATATCTGAATGCAACCTCTTACAGTTAGCTTAGATTATTATTATGAAAGTGCGCATCGAAATACGACCTCGCATAAAACTATCAAGAATATTGAACAATGTAAATTAATATTCAGTTAAAAGCCTCCGAAAATTATCCAATTACTTAAAGAGTTTTCCGTTGAATTCGAATTATGTTTGCATTTGGCATCTTAACAAGAAAGTTTTTCCGAAAATGAAATGACGCGTTATACAACAAAATACTTGATAAATGAGATACATCAGGAGCACTCTGCAACGGATTTAATTGAGTAATTAAAATTCGTCAGAAAATCGAAGTAAATTTAATCAATGAAAAGAATAAGCAAAATAATTACGCCAGAGGTGAAGAAATAAAAACTCTACGTAGTTGAACACTCAAAGGTGTTTCATTACGCGCAAAAAGTCTCGCATTTGCCGCGCAGGAGCGAGGACAGCGCACAGTGACCATACATGCTACCCTGCACTCATGATGAGGCCAAAGATCATACCATGCATGCGAACGGTTCCAGTTCTGATAAAGTTCAAAGCGTTAGAACAGAGATCGGCATAAGACTTCTCGCTTCGGATTCTCGACTTGCTTCAAACCTTCTCGTCATGACGAAATGTCAGGCGTAGATGAACCTCAGCAACACGGCTGGCAGCTCAAGAACCCGCCTACACTAATGAAATTTTTAGATAAAATTTGTGTGGCTTTGCAGTTTGCGGATTAATGTTAAACAAATCAAGTTTATTTAAAATGTAATCTTATTAACGTATTTTCTCTTTTATGGAAAAAGGCGCTATTGTGCTCGTCATGTCCGTCTGTCTGTCTGTCCATCTGTCCGTCCGTCTGTCTGTCCGTCCGTGACTTCACTTTTTCGTCGACGAGAAAATGCGCTCTGTGTCACTCACTGCAGTGAGTACTGAGTTATATTTTTTAAGCCTTTTAAGCGCGCTGAATAAGTTACGTAATTGTCCCAACATTTGAGACTAGTAAAAGTAAAAGATTCACCTATTACAAGAATTTTATTAATTGTATTTCTAAATACCAAGTAATCACACAACACACTTAATTGGAATATCCACAGCGCATGACGACAAGAAAAATTCGTTGTGCTGTTATCAAGACCCAACTCGCTCGCGGCCCGTCTGAGTTTTCAGTAGGACACAGTGAAGCCAATTATTTAAGCAACATTCGTGAATATAGTAATCGTTTAGGAATAATGAATCGAATAATCAGGAATAATCATTGTGATTTTTTCATGCCTCACGCGTCTGCTTCTGTAGCAGCGCTCAAAACCGAGACCGACGGCTGCCGCGAATATATACTGTGATTTTTGTATATGTGCGTACTCAAATGCTCGTAGGACGCACGTAAGCTAATAGTTGTCTATTTAATTATCAATACCTGTACAGTAATTTCAATACAAATTAACGGAGCCTATAAGAGGAAGGATTCCAATTTTACTTTTGTACGCACTTACCCCGCAGAGAACTGTACATTTAGACTGTGCAACACGACAGATATATAAAATTGGTTGCAACAATATTACTAAAAGCTCGCACAATGAAAACATCAAATTAATGAACTGAGAACAACAGTGATGCGTCACATACGGCAAATGAACGAATATCGATAATTAATGTCATAACGTTTAATTATAATGCAGTCATATCAGCAGGCGATAATCTTGATTCATCTGAAGCAGCCAGATTTTGGTAAACTGCGATATTTTTACTGAAGAATTTTAAACGCATCAGAGGGAATAATTCTAAGTTACCATCAGCCCTGAGATCTAAGGGAAGCAAATGAGGGAGATCTGAGGGCAGGCGAGATGAGCGAGGCGCCTTATGGATCTGCACGAGGCGCGCGTCTCGTAAAGCCTGCCTACAAATTGCCTGCGGCGGCCATCAGAGCCGTCGTAAACGCTGGGGCATGGCTGCGAGACGCGGGGCATGGCTGCGAGACGCGGGGCATGGCTGCGAGACGCGGGGCATGGCTGCGAGACGCGGGGCATGGCTGCGAGACGCGAGGCATGGCTGCGAGACGTGGGGCATGGCTGCGAGACGCGAGGCATGGCTGCGAGACGCGGGGCATGGCGGCGAGACGCGGGGCATGGTTGCGAGACGCGGGCATGACTGCGAGACGCGGGGCATGACTGCGAGACGTAGTTGCTTGACTTGTGTTTGCACGCTCGTGAAAATGTTGACGGGAAAAGGCGGCATGTCAGGCAGTGTATGGACATGCTAACATTGCAGCTGGACACGTTTGAACGTTGGCCGAACGTGCTGGAATTGTTGGCAAACATGTTAAACACTTGAACAGGACATTGCATGTTTAAAAAACTACTATACAAAGAAACTATTATTTTTTAACGCACTCTCTGCAGCTGCCGGACTGACAACCTATAGCTGGAAACGAAAAACAAAAGAAGACGCGTCGCAAGACTTCGTGAGGCGGAATAGCAAGCGTCCCGTGAAGTGTGCAGATCAATCATTCATTGAACAATTCTCAAGAATTGATTATAAAATACCAACCCGACGGCAACTCTCGCACTTTCACTGCTGACAAGCAGAAACACTAAACGCTTCACCAAGCGTGTAATTGAAACAAGAATTAATCGCATATTGGCAATACTAATCAGCTACTCATCAGTTAATTAAGCGCATGATTTTATTATCATCCATCTGTTAATTCAAGCTTTTCTTTTGATCAGACATGCTCAGAACTCGTGCAAAAACAACCAAATGACAATAGCTTAAATGGTATTACTTATACTATGGTCAATTTAGTCCTCTAATGGTTAAATTAAAAGTCTAAAAAAACAAGGGAGCATTAATTCAACATAAATAATGAATGAGATCAATAATTGAAAATTTCATTTAGCTAACATTAATACAATAAACCTCTAAAGTATGATGCCGGGGTAATTTGCTTGCAAATACGGTTCCACCAAAACAAATTTCGACTGGGAACATAAGCTCCCACCCGAACATTCGTGCTTCGTCTGCATTTCCATGACACGAGCCTTGAAAAATGTTTCCGTTCGACTAGTTTCTTTCAACACGAATTGCAGTGGAGACGAAATTTTTCGCACGATCAATCGAAATCGAATTAAATTCGCAGACTTTTACGCGACGACAGCGAACGCATGAACAGACCTACGGAGGCTGCACGTGCTGTAACAACCGATAAAGTGGAAATAAAAATAAACTAAGCCCCAGTAACTGCATTCTTCTAGAAAACAAGTTTAAAAAAAGGCTCAGTTTCTATTTTTCTTTACGTTGCGTTTCGCAGTCGCAACTGATTTAAATGAAAGCAGTGTTCAGCCGTCGGATCTTCTTTCTACGTAAAGGAATTTTAGAACGAAACTCGCTCTCCAAGCAGGAAATTACATCATCTACGATAAGAAAGATGCCTGATCATTTTACGGTTGATATATTTTCTCCATGCAGACGGAGTTCTGATAGATGGCTTACAAGAGAAAGGTATAAGCTCTCCTCACCATTCAGCTATCCATTGTCATGCGGGAAATAATGAAGCTCGATGATCGTATGGACATAAAATGTCGAGAAACAAGCGTGCTGCTCCGTACGGCACAACGCGAGAGAAAAACTATTACAAGGAAACGCATCTGTTTGAATTAATTACATGTTAGCATCAGGAAGCCACAACTAACATCCATGAAATTCGTATTTTCGTTTTCTTTAATCGTAACAACGCCACGTTTAAAGATTGATAAATTACAGTAAAAAATTTTGATATCCAGTTAATTTACAAATAAGCGTTTCATTCAAATGAAGAGTACGACAAAAAAACGTGCTAGCATAATCAAACGAAAAATCCATTTTAATTATTGTTTTATCCCCTATATTATATTACTATATCTTATATATTATCCCCTATATAGCTGAATAAGAGAAGTATGCATTTTTATTTTTTCCCAGTTTATTTATTTCACGATTGTCCATTTATTAATTTCAACATAAAATCGTGTAAAACTTCAGTAAAATTTATTCTCATTCCAAACTTAGGCAGCAACTCGTCCGAAAATAGTTCGCTGTACATCGCTCCATATACTGGTAAAAGTTTAGATTATTGATTATATTTAATCTAATCCACCCTATGCAGGTTGACCCACCTGTTGTCGAGGTGGGTCACAGGTCCCGTGTGCAGGTTGACCCACCTGTTGTCGAGGTGGGTCACAGGTCCCGTGTGCAGGTTGACCCCCATGGAGTCGGGACGGAGTTGCGCATAGCGGCGACGGTGGGACGACGAGCGGGACAACTCGCAGACCTGCTCCAGCGACGAGCACAGACTGTCTGCAACACGTCAACACGCGGGGTTATTCAACATGTCAACAATTAAGTCTTGCAATTTAATGCGTCAACACGTGATTGCTATTTAACAGTTAACGCTCCGTTTTTCAACGCCAAATTATGTTCTAATTAAACACTTCAACTCATTTAAAAAAATATGAATATTGCCATAAGAGTATAAAAATACAATTATAACAATAAACAATAATAGTACCACTTGATCATTAAAATGGTCCTACTGGTTATGTCGTCCATTACATAAGCAAATAAGGTGACCTCAAGGCCACGGCATCAGCCACAGACATTCATTCCATCATCAACGACATTCGCAGGCGCATTAAGTCTTCGCCGGCACCACAGTCAAGAATCTGGCCGGCAAAAAAGTCGACTTTCCTGGGATTTGCACAGCCGCGGATCAGCGATGGGAATTCAAAAGTCAATGAGGATCGCGTAATCCAATTGATGGGAAGGCCGTGCGGTTTGGATTGGATTCTTGCTTGCAAAACTTAGCTTGGATGGCTTCATTCCCAGGTAATTCAGTTGGCGCGGATAATTAATTAGGTTTAAAAGTGAAAGGGATCCAGTGGGTAATGATGGAGTTTTCCATCTAAATTCACATAGGAAGTAAAAATGTAATCAGCAAATTTACTAATTTAAAATCAATTTACCACAAACTTAGCGTAAGAATAAGTAATCTGGCTTACTCGATTATCAATTTTCACCGAGGTTTTTTTATTCGTCTGATGACACAGAGAATGAGAATATTAAAAAATTTTAATTGTGTACAAGTTTTCTCCGGAATTAAAGTAGGAAAAAATCATTGAAGCACCCCTTCACGAACCTACATTTTTGATAACTCTGCAACATTTTATTGTTAAATGGTCTATACAAAATTATTTGATTATAACCCAGCGACAGGGCCCAAGTATCGACTTCACTTGTCAATCATTTCGCAAAATACGAGACCGACAAAAATTGCCTGTTGCAGTAAAGCCATAAATCCTTCGAATTTTCTAATTGCACGATTTCATCCGGAATGATAGGAACGACGTTCAGAACGTAAAGTGATTATAGTAATTGATACGGCGACGAGAGAGATGAGCGAGCGCAATAATTTGCAAGCTGCTCTAATTTACCGATAAATTGTCGAAATGAATAATAATCAAAGTAAATATTGATATAAACCGTATAAAATTACGGGAAAAAATTTCAGGTGCCGTCTAGAAACCCAATTAATAATTTAGCAGTTTGCTCGAGAAAGACAATCGTAATACAGAACAAAATATACAGAACTGTGGCCCAAAATAAACCCCGCATTTCAAACAGGATAACAAAATTAAAACAATAAACTAACTTGGATTTTTTAAACACATGGCGGTAATCGCAAATAGACGAGCTAGTATTAAACGTCAGGATGACATGTAGCTACATTAATCCTGCCTTTGACCTGGTGGCTGCAAATCGTTCACGCCGACAGACCGACCGACCGGCATTGCTTCAAATCGAGAAGGTCGTGCCGACTAATCGAAGACGATTTTTGTTCGAAGAAAATCGTGCCTCGCTTGAGCATTGCACAAAGAAACGGGCGACTTAGCACGATCGCAATATTGAACCGGGAATTACGCAACAGAAGCACGATCCTCCGTTCATTCCACTGACGATGCGCACCATAAATTGCTCAAGAAAACGATGCATCAATTCGCAGTGCAATTGACTGAAACATCACACAAAGATTGAAATGGAAATGTCCTGGAATTTGTGCTACTTTTGTTAACGAACGCTATATAGGCATGAATGTCGCCAATACCTTCAATGTTTTCAGGCTTTTTCCAAACAGAGGATGGAAAAGACCGGTTATTGGGTTTGCAATCGAAGAATTATAAATGAACGAACAAAATTTAAAATTTCAGATAAATATCCTCAATTGATTTTTATTAGCATCTTTAATCTGCGCACTGAACAGGGCATGCAACGTAATCAGCATTAGAAGAACGCTTTAGAACACAAATAACAAAAGCAACGTATGGAAAACCTACAATAAGAACAAATAATTATTTATTAAAATAATAATGAACCATTATTGTACGAGTACACAATCGTAATTTCAGACGCTGAATAAACCGTCCGTTCTCGTGATGATCGAGAGACCAGAACTTGTAATTTACTTTTCAAATGTTGAAATTCTTTCAGAAACTTCTATTTCAGCCTCGTGCTTTCGCGTTTCGCGATTCTTCAAACACTCGCGGCGCTGATTGATTGGCAGGGGATTGGCAGGAGTGATGGTAAGAACTGTAAGATATATATATATATAGGGATTGGCGGGAGTGATGGAAAGAACTGTAAGAGGGATCTAGAAAATTGGCCGGAGTGGAAGTAAGAACTAAGGTAAGAACTGTAGGAGGAACCTAAGGGATTGGCCGGAGTGGAGGTAAGAACTGTAAGAGGAACCTAGGGGATTTATCGCCAGGAAGGAGAGACCTGTAAGACGCACACTAGCGACGATTGTATATAAGCTGGGCCAAATTCAGAGGCTGGGCTTGAGCCAAACCTAAAAATGAGAGGTTCCTAATTAAGTAAGAGCGGAATACTAAAATTATTAGTGACCGAAAGCAAAATTTTAAAAATGTAGCACTATAAAATGTTGTTTTGGCATATAATCAGCAGTACCATAACTGTGCGCATCGTAAATGGAATCGTTGGTGACGAATCCAATGAGATAGAAATAACGTTTGATACTAACGTAGCAGCGACAATATTTATGCTATCGACAGCCATTAATCATGGCAGCGATTGTGTCACGCGCAAAATGAGCCGTGCGTTAATACGTCAGTAGGGCTTCATGCGCTGACCGTAGCGCCGTACCGACCGTACGACACCAGCGCCGCTACAGAGACGTCAGCAACGTTGCATACTGTGACCGTAGCGCCGTACCGACCGTACGACACACGCGCTACTATAGAGACGTCAGCAACGTTGCATGCGCTGACCGTAGCGCCGTGCCAACCGTACGACACACGCGCTACTATAGAGACGTCAGCAACGTTGCATGCGCTGACCGTAGCGCCGTACCGACCGTACGACACACGCGCTACTATAGAGACGTCAGCAACGTTGCATGCGCTGACCGTAGCGCCGTACCGACCGTACGACACACGCGCTACTATAGAGACGTCAGCAACGTTGCATACGCTGGCCGTAGCGCCGTGCCAACCGTACGACACCTGCGCCGCTATAGAGACGTCCGCAACGTTGCATACGGTGACCGTAGCGCCGTACCGAAGACCGTCCGGCTCCGGCGTAATTGAAGCCCCGAGGGCGCTTGCCGGGCACGTTATGAGTCACCGGAACGCGTTCTGGCGTAACCGCTGCACGTGCTCCTTGTAATTGCAAAACCCGGACACTAAAATAAAGTCTTGAATCTTAGCCTAGATAAGAGGACTGGCAGTTTCTTGACTAGTTTTTATTCAAGTCTCCATCGCCGTTTTGACTTGGTAAACGTAAGAAATAACAAAAAATCTAAATTAGGAACTCGCTTTTAAAGTTTTATGCATTTTTTTCAAGCAAATCTAATTTTAACGACGCTCTAATTTTCGACTTGTAGCTGTAATAACAAAGGACGAATCAATTATTGAAATGCCAAATTAGTTTATTCGCTGGATACTTTTAGTATACATTTATTATAATTAATAGTAGATTACGTGCAAATTTGTTTGAATTTTTTATTTAATTCAAATCTTTTCACAAACATTTTTCGGAACCAAAAATTACCTTTTTGCATGTTAATTAACCCTAGATTAAGGTCAGGCAATTTATTAGAATGCCTGCCGAAGCGAGTGTCATGAAGCATAAATTTAAGCAACTTAAATACAGATACGGAGGACGAAATTTCACAATAAGGATTCACCGAACGATTTTGAACTCCGCCATTACTTGACCTCGGAGCAAAAAAGTGTCCAGAAATCATTGAAGCAAAAGTAGCGTTACATTTACAGCCAAACAACAAACTCAAGAGTATCATCATTATTACATCAAAGCACTAACCTCAAGAGTATCATCAGTGCATCTGTCGAACACTGACCTCGAGAGCATCATTTTGCGGCACCCAAGCCTAACCTCGATTTTAAGCAACTTTCTCACCAATCTATTCCTAAGGCGATGGAAAAATACATCTGAAATCCGATATAAAAACACCACTCAAAAAAGTAACTATTCCGGAAATTACATGCGCGAACCAATGTCAAAATAACCACGCAAATCCCATTGTCTGTAGCGCCACCAGCGGTCCCATTACCCGCGGAAATATTGCTCAATAAAAATTTAAGACAAAAATAACGCTTTGAAAAATATATCCTTTGATATTCTCATTGATTACTACACAACTCGGTGTTTATATAGAAGGGAAGACATGAAAATTGAAACGAGACGCATCGTGATTTTTTTGAGTTTTATTAAGTACCGAGAATAATTTTAACGAAGAATGAAAGCATTACAGATAAAAAAGCTCAGCAGAAGCAAAGGATCGCGACATTACAGAAGAAATGAGACGGCGACGCTACCATCCATTATATATATTAGCTGTGAGCGTCGTGCACAGCAGAAGCACACCCAGCAAATTGCGTCACGAGCGGCAAAAATTGGCCAGCGTATTTTTTAGCAGTTACCGTAGAATTAATTTTCGAAGTAATTTCTTACATCGAGAAAGCGAGACAATGCACGAAACGGCAGCGCAGGTAGAACATCTTAATGATGCTCCGACTCGAGCGTCGAGTTAAACACAGCACCCGGGTCGTTGCGAGGTCATAAATCTGGACTGAAATGTATGAGCAATTAAAGCCATGTTATTTATATAATGGATAACACTTTCTGTGCATTGAAATAATGCTTTATCAAAAATACAACGGTCTCCCATTAAAAATAACGAACTCCTATTGCAGCGCGCCAAGTCACTAAGCCGGCCCGCAGCCAGTATAGATCAGGGAATCATTGAAGGTAATGTTTCTGTC